TAAGGCTGGATCTGCAGGAGGTCTGCAACACACAACACATTTGGTTGGCAGGCAAAAGAAGCATCCATCTGTGTAGCTTTTTCACATTTTCCTCCTTAATGCTTTCCTAGGAACAAATTCCATTAGCATTCCGGAGTAGCAAGGATCTCATCTCAGTGTGTAACCTTCAAAGGCAGACTCTGATTGAGATGTATCAACAGACAAAAAGAAGGGATGTACAACTTTATGGCAGAAAGAAACATGGCCCCTCTCTTTATAACAAAGGAGTTTATTTCCCTTATTTCTTCCTATTTTGATAGGTTAAAAGAAAACAGATTCATCAAGGACTTCCTTGTGAAGGCTACAGCTGAAATGAAAAATTCAGAATTGTTATTCTGGGTTTTATCTGGGCTTATGGAGAAGAAAACATGAAGCTACCCTAGAGCAAGGTGGATGCTTGGCCCATTTAGCTGTGCTACAGCTACTCTACCAACATATCATTTTCTAGGGACAGGTCAACGATTCAGTTTTGGAATGCCTTCAAGGCATGTCCTCTCTCTCTGAGATGCAGAAATTCCTTTTAGGTGACCAGTCAAGTGGAAGTTTTATAAATTTTCAGGCAGATAGAAGAGCAACTAAGAATATTGTGAAGTCACTGGTTCTTGCTTTATGACAGCCATGAACTGTGTAAGTCAGTGGCTCCCAAACATGGGTCCCCAGATATTCTTGGACTAAAACTCCCAGAAGCCTTCCCCACTAGCTGTGCTGGCCAGGATTTGGGGGAAGTTGTATTCCAAGAACATCCGGGGACCCAAGGTTGGGAACCCCTGATTAAAGTCATTGAAGGGCAGTGTGGCCCGCCATAAGTTGCTGGACTGCATCTCCCATCAGCCATAGAGAGAATAGTCAGTGATGAGGAATTCTGGGGAGTGCAGTCCCAACATTTGGAAAACTGCAATTGCCCAGCCCTGCCCTGGATGCTTTTAGGAGAGCCACTGTTTTTTAAATAGCTACTCCATGGAGAAAACACTGGCCAACTTTACAGATTGCTAAGGAATGTATATACTGAATGAGGAACATCAGAAGTATATACCGTATTTGCCGGTGTATAAGGCGACTGGGCGTATAAAACGACCCCCCAACATTCCCACTCAGAATGTAGAGTTTGTTATATACTTGCTGTATAAGACTACCCCCTCTTCCGCATGCATGATTCTGCTTTGGCTGCATCATGGGGAGAGTTCCTTTTGCCCCTTTTGGTTCCTTTTCGGAGAGAGCCAGGGTTTGCTGGAAGAAGGAACAGCAGAGAGGCAGCAGCCATGTGGTCGCATCTCAAAATGGCTGCTGCCTCTCTGCTGTTCCCGACAGTCAGCTGTTCGGCGCTAGAGTCAGGCTGTTCCTAGGCTAGAAGCGGGGCTCTAATCGTCTTACTACCAGGTCGGTGACTTTGCTGGGAGAGAGGGAGGGTTTGCTGGACATGCACCCGGCGTACAAGATGACCCCCCCCCACTTGGAGGCATGTTTTTAGGGCCAAAAAGTCATCTTGTACGCCGGCAAATACGGTAATATTTTTACTTTTATTCTAACCATAAGAATGCTGCATAATTTCAAAAACAAATAGAAGAGAAATAAAAATATTTGCAGGCTGACAGCCGGTCAGAACTTGAACTGAAAAAGTCACTCTGAATTTCCATTGTTCCTTCCTAATTCATTCAGTACACAACAACATAACATATGATGCCTACAGTGATTTCTTAACTGGAGGAATTCACCCACAAAAGTTATGTTCTCTCAACACAAGAGAATTTTGGGCTCTGTTTCAGGCCCGAATATTTATGCTTAGTGCGTAGGTTCTATTCAAAGCCACAGATGCTATTCTTTCTTTGTAAATGAGAGTTCTTTCCATCTGTAGCTCAAAAAACAGGATCACGACTTATTAACTGCATATTGAAGACCATGAACATAAAGTGGTGCAGGGAAAAGCAATTGAAGAAACAAAAACAGGAAATGTGTGGCCCTCAACAATCCCAGAACAGAAACTCAACTGGAGACATTACCTCTTCACAACATCCTTGTTTTCTTTTACTACTACTTCTTCTTCTTCTCTCAACTTGGCCATTACGAATTTCATGCCAGATTTTTTAACAACATCCTTGATCCACATGCTATCTAAGACTGTATCTGGTTCTAGTGAGTTCACATCAATGCTGGTGTTTAGCAAGGCTTCGTACACATGATCTGAGTACAGGAAAAGAAAACAGTATTGGGCAGTGTTCCAACCACAGAATCATTCCTGCAGCCAAGAAACATTAATAGGAGAACACCTTTATTATGTAGGCTACACCATGTGGATAACTGTCACCAAAGTGGTTGTGTGATTTAGAATGTTGCTACTTTTCCAGATTTCAGTCCTCTTATTATTTCCATTATACACAGCCCACCAAATTTTGTCTGGATTTAGTTTCTTGAAGATCAGGTCATTCCCAAGGATCTAGGATATTCCTTTGTATTTCCTTAAAATATGCACTGTTCCAAGTAAGACAGCCTTTTGCAGTTGATGTATTGGGATCTCATTTACATCTAGAGTATGGACATGGTTTTCTAGGTCTGTTTGGTGCTATTATTACATTGCATTTCTTATTTTTCAGCTGGCGTATGAGGGCAGATCAAAGAGTGAAGTCTAGAAATCAGGAGTCAAATCCTAAGAATTTGTGGGTGAAATAATGTTTGCAAAATCATTGATACTTTAATTAGTAGCTATTGGCAATTGTTTTAAACTGGTAACCAAAGATACCACTGGAATGACTCTGTTTTTTAAAATCCATACAAGGATAATATGATTTATTGTTTTGTTATTTGTTATTATTTGTTTCTTATTTTGATTTATTATTACCGCCTTTGCTAAACATATGTTGTTGGGTGAAGAAAATCAAAATGATGTCATCCCAAATCATTTGCAACATTTTTTTTTCTTTACAAACCTCCAAAGCAACACAAAAAACAAAATGAAGCCAAATGGGACCAATTCTACAGCACAATCTTTTAATTCACACTTTCCTCAGATGAAAGCACTTCAAGCACATTGAAAGCAGATGGCTAAGGAATACTCCAGAGAATGAGAGACATGTTGTAGAAATCTCCTTCACAGGCTTTCACGGCAAAGTAAAGGCAGGAAATATTGAAATAATTAAAGGGGCTTAATAAGAGATATAAGTAACAGCACAACTCAAGAATCAGCAGATGCCAGACACATTTCTTTCTTCAATCTTGAGAGAAGCTATGGAATTAGGAGGAAAACTGATCAAAGGATCAAGAAATGAAAAGGAAACATTGGGCTCTCCTTGAGCATATGTAGACTGCATAAACTAGAAGTGTAGATATATCAGAGATCTCCTACCAACTCTTCTCAGACTGAAGAAGCTATTTGGATGGGTAGCGAAACATTTCAAACTAACAAGAAAGAAGTCCTGTTGCCATGACTCAGCTACCAGATAACCTCACCTGGATGACTCAGAATCTTCACAGATATACTGTAGAAATGTAGAGATTTATGTTTTTGAGGAACCTGAGGCAGCACAGCTGCTTATTGAATCCAGAAAATTTTACTCCAAAAACACGAAACCTCATACCTCTAGCACTGATTCAGCCCCACAAGACTTAAAGAGTCGCTCAATTCAGAAAACACTCAAGCATTCACAAGGGATTAAAATGGACAAGCATTTGATTCAATTCATTGCTTCTATACCCGGTGCCATCTAGAACCCCAAGTGAGACACAGAGTTTACACCGGTACGAAAAGAATCTGCTCTGTGATAGCTTCTACCACTGAAAGGTGTACTTGTGCAGTTTCTTCTGTTTTTGCAGATAAGACTACAGACTATCTGCACGAAATCCTATGCATACTGATGCATGATTCACTATATAAACAGTGAAAATGAACGTGGAAAGAAGATGGAAGAGTCACTTGGACATTTTATCCTTTTGCATCTAAGCGCACATTCCTGAGAATGTAGAGACATAAGTGAAATTATTCTGAGCCACACTATTTTAGGCCCACTGATGTCTACCAAGAGTGTTAGTTATTCTCCTATACAGTGGTGCCTTGACTTAGAATGTCCTGACTTACGATCATTTTGAGTTGCGACTTGTGGCCAGAGCTTTGAGTTGCGACTGGACACATGTGAAGCTGTAAATATGGAACCCCTGATGGGCTTTACACACAAAGCTACATCCTAAAGGCTCCAAGTGGGACGTAATTGTGAATGCAGGGCTGGCTGGGGGTGTGTAATTTTTCCCCAGCTCCATTGCGCTGTGTGGGGGTGGGGGGCTTTTTGGATTATTTTTCAGCTCCATCGCCTTCTTGGAGGCGATGGGGCTTAACCCCCCTCCACTCCCACACAGGGCCTTGGAGTGGTTTTTTTGGGGGGGCGTTGTATTATTTTTTTCGGCCGGATTGGATTAATGGGGTTTCAATGCATTCCTATGGGAAATGGTGCTTCGATTTACGACCATTTCGAGTTACGTCCATCTTCTGGAACGGATTATGGTTGTAAGTCAAGGCACCACTGTATCTTAGGCCTTGCCCAGTGCAGCAGATCATCTGACACCAGAGATTCAAGGTAGGGCTTGGTTTGGACTCACAGTCTAAGTCTCTTGCACTTCTTGTTGTTGTCAACAGTGGAAACAGATAAGACTTATTTCAGATAGTAGGAGCAGAATGTTTATAATTGCTGGATGTTCACAGGACAAACATTTCTCATGCTTCCAAACAGTACAGTCACTAACACAGAATTCTGCCACGGTAGTTTTCTGTGTCTACAGGAAATACCCTCCTAGAAACTGATGTCAACTATCTGCCATAAGAGATCTGAAAGCGATATCCTGATTAGAAGTACTAAGGTTATGCGGTTTGGCAATGAGGTCTGACATTGATATAAACCAGAAATGCATGTTTTACATTCCAGTACCCCCAAAGTGAACTTGCTGGAGCTACAATCTGAGGTGGGATAGAAGTGGGTTGCAGTCCATGAAAGCTTATGCCAAATAAAACTTTACAGTGCCACATGATTCCCTGTGGCTTTTCTCTTTAGAATCATAGAATCGTCAAATCACAGAATAATGGAATAGGAAGGGGCTTAAAAGGCCATTGAGTCCAACCCCCTGCTCAAGGCAGGAATACGAATCAAATCAGATCTGACCATTTTCTCTTGAATGCCTCTAGAGCTGGAACGCTCACCACTTCCCAAGGTTTTTGTTCCCATTGTCATACTGCTCGAACAGTTAAGTTTTTGACTTACGTACACAGAATGATCAGAAGCCATGACCTGGAGTGACAAGGCATACAAGGCTTTTGCTGGAATTTACTTTGCTAGTTATATTTATATCCCACCTGAACTGAAGTTAACAAACATAATATTCCCTTCCTCCCATTCCACACCACATGGACACATGTGAAGCTGTAAATATGGAACCCCTGATGGGCTTTACACACAAAGCTACATCCTAAAGGCTCCAAGTGGGAGGTAGTTGTGAATGCAAGGCATCACTCAAAAAAAACAGGCTCACCTATGTCCTTATGCATGGCTTTTGCAAGCTCCTCCACAGTCATCCGGGGCCTTATCACAACTTCTTGCTTCTTCACTTTTGGTTTTATTAGTTTCAGTTTCTCTTTGCTGGATTTCTTTCTCTAGAAAAAAATGCCAAGACATGCAGAGGTCTCAATGCAAGGGGCTGAAGGGAAAAGCCATACATCCTTAAAACCTGACATTGTTAATTTGTTTTACAGTGCCGCAACTGCTGGACAATGATCTTTAAATCAAAATTAGGTAATGGCATTAAGACACATCTTGCCTCCACATGCCCATGTCACACAAACATGTGTACGTGCAGGAACAGAACTATCTGGGATGTAAAAGGCAACTCCTGGACCCAACCCATGGGACACTATCACTTGCCAAACTATATAAACAATGCCAGCAAGCCTCAAAATCCTGGCGTATCCAGATGTTTTAACAAACAGAAAACAGCATGGACAAAAATGGCCCAATAATAAGTTTGTTTGTTGGCCTGGGATTTCTTCTTGTTTGAACAACAACAAAATCTAATGCTCCCTTTTGACAAATTATGATGCAGTAAAGAATTTATAGCTGCACTTAAGGATGGCTGGGCCCATTTAAGTGGATAGATAGGCACTGGGATAACAATTGGGGTCAGGAAATAAAAGATGTCTATATGAAACCCAAGGGATGTAGTGGCGCTGCGGGCTAAACTGCAGAAGCCTGTGCTGCAGGGTCAGAAGACCAAGCAGTCATAAGATCGAATCCACGCGATGGAGTGAGCGCCCATCACTTGTCCCAGCTCCCGCCAACCTAGTGGTTCGAAAGCATGCAAATGCGAGTAGATAAATAGGGACCACCTCGGTGGGAAGGTAACAGTGTTCCATGTCTAAGTCGCACTGGCCATGTGACCACGGGAGATTGTCTTCGGACAAACGCTGGCTCTATGGCTTAGAAACGGGGATGAGCACCGCCCCCTAGAGTCAAACACGACTGGACAAAAATTGTCAAGGGGAACCTTTACCTTTATATGAAACCCTAAATACAGCCTGGGTCCAGGTTACTTGAAGGACCATATCTCCCCATATGAGCCTTCTCAGCATTTAAGATCATCAGAGGAGGCCCTCCTCTCGTTCCCACTGCCAACACGGGCATGGCTGATCAGGGCACTAGAGAGGGCTTTCTCTGTGAGATGCTCTCCCTCGGGAGGTCAGGTGGGCCCCCTCACTTTTATCCTTCCACTGACAACTGATGACCCACCTTTTCAGGCAGAATTTTAATAACTGTGACAGAGTCCCTGAATGCCAATTTTTGGTTCAGATAGTTTTTAATGTTTTTACCTGTTTGAACTATTCAATGTAGTTTAATCAGTTTTATAGTTTAATTGTTTTTAATGCGTATTTAGGGTGGTTTTTATTCTATTCTTTTTAATACCATGAGCTACCTTGAGTCCCCTTATTGGGTGAAAGGTGGCCAATAAATAAATTAATTAATTAAAAGAAAACAAGCAAACAACTTCAACACATCAGCCGTGTGCAAAGATCTTCAGAGCTCACTCAACTAAACAGAAATCTGGCATTTGGCATGGGGAAAGCTGGAGGGAAGACAATGTAGAATAAATTTACAAGACCTTCCCCCAAGTTTATTCTTGTAGACTTCACTTCTGGCTGTTTTCTTCCACACTTGTTGTTTCGAGAGATTCTAGGCAAAAAGCCCACATGAATTCGTTCAGAAAGGTTCACATGTTTGCACCCATCTCTTCTGCATTAATCTGTGCTTTATAAAATTCACAGAAAATCCTTCTACAAACAGCACTGGCTTTTCATTTCACAGGCAAGGAGCCATACAATGGAGTTCTTGGAAGAAGAAGAAAAAAGGCACTATTAATTACCTCCGTGGTGCTTAAAAGCCTGAATTGTGATCTGGCATCTGGCTGCCAGAACAGAGGGTGCAGCTGAATTGGGCACATGGGACAGGCAGACGACAAGACAGGCTTCCACTGTGTTCGGTGGACTTTCCCATAAGCCAAAGAGTGCAGCTGTCTGCAAGCACGATGCAACCGGGCCAAGTTCTCCAAAGTCCGCATCGTCCTCACGTTCATGTTGCCCCTGCAAACAAGGACAGACATTACATAAATGAGCTGCCTTTCAGTGTGTACGGACTGTCCACGATGAGGAGCATGAGATGCAAAGGATGAGGAGGATGCTGTACTGCCCATAGTTGGGTACAAAACAACAGTAGGCCTGGTTTATCAGGCATTGAATAAAGTTCTACTGAACTATCCTGCATAACTATTAAAAGGTGCCAACTAAGGTTTTTTGTTTTGTTTTGTTTTTTGCTGTGTATCCTGCCACAAATTTCAGGGGTAACATAAAAAGAGGTTATCCCTTTTTGTGCTTGCAGCTATATTGTTGGCAACATTTTGCCATGTGCATCAGAAGCCACATCTATCCTTATTTGTTCCTAGTCACAAAATAATGACAGGTTGTTAAGCTTATCTTGTACATTAAAGAATGGCATTAAAAGCAGAAAGATGTGGCTTCTGATGCACATGGCAAAATGTTGCCAACAATATAGCTGCAAGCACAAAAAGGGATAACCTCTTTTTATGTTACCCCTGAAATTTGTGGCAGGATACAAAGCAAAAAAACAAAAAAAAAAAAAACCCCTTAGTTGGCACTTTGCAAACACATCTCACTGTAGGGATTATCTTAGGAGGCAGCGTGGTGTAGTAGCTAGTGTTGGACAAGGACTCAAGAGACTTGGGCTCAAATCCTGGCTCAGCCATGGAAACTCACTAGGACTTTGGAACTGGTGAAACCACTCCATAAGTATCTCACTTACCTTCATCTAAGGTTGCAATGGTAAATCACTCCTTTAACATCTCACATGCCTCAAAAACCTTGTTAGGTTCACTGTATGTTGCATGTGACTGAGTGGCATGGAACAATGGTGATTTGCTTATCTTTTTAATGCTGCACTGAGCTGAAAATGGGATGCAAGATCTATGGTGTTGGGTTGAGTGGGTGTGGATCCATGCAGAAAAGGACTCTCAGGAAAGCAGCTTTCACTGATTTTTCCGAACTGTTTGGGATGTATAGTATGTGTGTTTCCCAGTCTCAAGGTGAGAAGGACAATGGTGAAAACTGCCTCCTCTTTCACTGTAACACACTGAGTTATACAGAGTTTGACTCTGGACCCAACCACTATCTGTGACAGTTATACTAAAGATTAAAAGTACAAAAAATAACTAATAATTATCACAGACGGTAAACTATGGATTTAATTTTCATCTTACCCACTTTTGTCTTAAATTAATGTTGCACTGGAGGTGGCTCGAGGCACAGTGGTTAAGTTGCTGTGTTGCAGCCAAAGCTCTGCTCACGACCTGGGTTCTATCCCAGGTTGTCGGCTTGAAGTTCCCTCAGCTTTCCATCCTTCCTAGGTCAGTAAATTGAGTATCCAGCTTGCTTGCGGGGGGGGGGGCAATGCATAATGGGATTGGGTTCTTCAAAAACTGGTGGCGGCTCCCTCAACTTGGCGGGAATGAGAGACGGAGACGACTTTAAAAATTGAACAGGTTCCTTTTTATGTTCGTTAACACCAACATCAACCAGGTTAAATGGACTGAAACAACTTAACTGACAGTCTTATAACTTTGTATCTTCAACTCTGGAGTGAATAAGTCACTTCTCACATCAGGGCTGGGCCAAAATGCTCACGATCGGTCATTGCCCTCAAGGGGGTACTCCTTACTGCACAGACCATCCCACAACAATGTCTCACCCAGTTGCCCTCGAGTGGTGGTTTGTTGAAAGAGGGACTGGGCCAAATCACCTTCCTCCCTCCATCTTGATTGCATGGGTAGACCACCACAGTCCATTCTAGTGGTCCGATCTTCTTGCTCTCTAGCTTTGGGATACTGGGATCAGGGAGAAGTCCCCCACCAGTCTTTGGGTTAGGAAACTCCCTCGTCAGATCTCTGACCTTATCAGGAGCATTTCCTTCATCCTCTGTTTGCACCGCGCAATCCCTTGTCTCCTTGACAGTCTCGTCCATTACCACTCTAAACTCCCACATCTCATCTCCCTCCTTTATAACCTCCTCCCAAACTATCAAGTCATGCTCCTCCCCTTTGTCTTCTGCCAGACAGACTTCTAACGCTTTCTTCTCCCTCCCTTCATCTCCCTCTATCTCTATTAACAGGCCTTCTACGCATCCGTAAGTCTCCTCCTGTGTACTCTTGCTTGAGGATGGCACACTGGCCTCCTGTCCTTCAAACATAGCCTGCATAATTAAAATTGTAAACCACTCAAAAAGTGCTTTAAGCATTATGGGGTGATATATAAGCAGCATGCTTTTTGCTGTGTTAAAGAAATGCACGTGAAGAAGTAGACTTACATTTATGAAACTTTATGCTATGATAGATTTGTGACAAAGGCAAATCCCAAACAGCTTTTCACAGTGTGACAACACTGTACGTTATATGTAGAGGACAAAGATAACTGTGTCAGGGTGGCTCACCCCAAAATTCAGTGGAACACCCAACCACTTGAGTCACACACCGCCCTCAGACTACATGACAATTTCCACTACACGTGGAAGCCACCGGATTTTTAATGTGCCTCTTTGGGTCTTGCTCCTCTCCTGCCAACACACTAACAGGGTTACTCCATACAAAAGCAAGATAAAATTGTGCTGTTGCTGTTGTTATGTGCCATCAAGTTGACTCCGATTCCTGGTGACCCTATGATTAAGTGGCCTTCAAAATATCCTGTCCTCAATGAGACTCTTGCAGAGTGCGCGCGGCATACAAGTTGAATGGAAAAATAAATAAATAAGTAAATAAATAAATAGCCCTGCTCAGCAATATAAACTCAAGCCTGTGGCTTAAGGAGTCAATCCATGTCGTATCTGGTCTTCATCTTATCCTGCTGCCCTCTACGTTTCTTAGCATTACTATTCTTTCCAGTGAATCCTGACTTTTCATGATGTGTTTAAGGTATGGCAGCTTTGGTTTCATCATTTTTGCCTCCAGAGAAAGTTCAGGTTTGATTTATTCTAGGATCCACTTATTTGTCTTTCTAGCAGTTCAGGATATCTGCAAAGCTCTCCTCCAGCACCATGTTGTGAATGAATCCATTTTCTTCCTATCCTCTTTCTTCACAGTCTAGCTTTCACACTCGTACATAGTAAATGGGAACATAATCATGTCAATGATCTTGGTCTTGCTCTCCAGTGACAGACACATCCTTACATTTGATGGTCTTTCCTAATTTCCTCATTGCTGTCCTTTTGAGTCTCAGTCTTTTTCTGGTTTCTTGGCTGCAGTCTCCATTGGGATTCATAGTTGACCCAAGGTATACAAAATCTTTAACAATTTCAGTTTCTTCAGTCAGCATTAAAGTTGTGTAACTCTTCCGTAGCCATGATTTTTGCCCTTTTTTTTTTTACCATTTAACTGCAGTCCATCTTTGGCATTTTCTTCTTTCACCAGAAATCATTTCAAGTCATTGCTCTTTTCTGGCAGTAAGATTGTGTTATTTGCGTTATTTGTAAATTATTGCTGTTCCTTCTACCAATTTTCACTCCTCCTCCATGACCATCATATTATATTATCATACTATGTGTTCTTGATACATCGAAACACCCTCTGCACTAAAATAATTTTAAAGCCCGTTGGTAGACACTGAATGTACAGCATCTCCCATTAAAAGCCCCTTCAATCCGTTCCTGACAGAAACCGGCCGCCTGAGGCAACCTCCGAAGGTGGGTCCAATTTAGAACAGCCCCAGCTATAGCTCCTCCCCTCCCCTGAAAGTGAGTGACATGCAAGCCCCGCCTACTACCTCCCGTCCTTCCCCCCCCTCGACTTCGAGTCAACGCATGCGCAACCCTCCACCTTTAACTCCTCCCACTCCACAGCTTCTTCATGCTTTTCCCTCAGTACGTCGTACACGGTTACTGCCGCCTAGCTCGGCGGGGTCGTTCAACGTCTGCTGTTGCTCCCCCTCGCACTTTTATTTCCTCCTCCTCCTCCCCCCAAATTCTCCGCCGTCCCGAGTTTACCTGCTTTCCCGGAAAAACCTTTTCGGGGGGGGGGTCAAACCTGCCGGTTGGGTCCTTGAGAGAAAAACGATAACCCTCTCATGCCGAATCAGCGTGTGGGCATGCGCAGTTGTGTTTGCCTGACGGGCCTTAACCCCTTTTCTTGCCCTTACTTCTCAACCGGCGTTGGGCGGGGCTACAGGCCACGTGGCACAAAGCAGTCCTGGGTCGCGTGATCTCCTGGGCAGATTCAGGATCCGAAGGTCTCCCCGGAGAAGGGATGGAAGCGAGAGGTTCAGGCGATGGCAGGAACGAGCTAAATTGGCATGCAGCCTCGTTCAGCATCAAGGAAGCGCCTTTATTCCCTGCATGCAGAAATTTTCACACTCTGTTTTAAAGGAAGAGTGCGAAAGCACATCTTTTAGAACTAATTTAATTTGCGGGGATGGTTTTAACTGCTTGTAGACCTCATTGGTTTCAACTTTTTAATCAGGCCGTTTCGTTAAATAAATTCAGCTTAATTTATTTTATTGATGTGCTGCCTTTTTCCCAGAACAAAGACCCAAGGCAGCTGACAATGCAGCTTTAAAAACCAAGAACATTGAAGTTCAACAAAATTATGAATGTTAAAGTAAAATCAAATTCTCTATGTTATAAATTTATACGTATGGTTTTTATGAGCCATATCTGTGGTTCAGATGTAACTATATATTATTTGATGTTTATTATTTGGGTTATATATTCTGTTATGGTTCTGTAATTTGGTTCCAGTTGTTAATAATGGGTCAGTTGTGGGTTGCTATTTTTGTTTTTGTCTCTATTAATACCATGATTATTTATTTATATCATATGATTAGGTTATTGAGTTTATTTCTTTTGATTATTTTTAACTGTGGTTGTACGGGTTGTTTTATGTTACGTAACCAGCCCCAAGTAGTGATTTCACTAGGTCAAGTGATCTGTAAGCTAAATAAATAAATCAAAATTAAAACACTTTAATACACCTTAAAATGTGTTCTTAATGACTTTGTAGTTGAGTTTAGTTTTTTTTTTCTTGTTCTGTTATGACAGCAGGCCACCTTGAGCTTCATTTAGAAGTGGAAAAGGGTAGAAATGTTGCTGCGGCTGCTGTTATTCATTTACGTCTTTTAGCAAACAATAATGGCTGCAATAAAATACCCTTCTCTGGGCTTGCTTGTATTTTTTGCTAAATGTTGGGCTGTAACCTACCGAGGGACTGCAGACTGGGAGGGTGATTGTGTAAGTGTATCCCTGCAGTTGCACTCACAGCTAGTGCAACAATGGGCTCACAACAAGGAGACTCGAGGATGGGGACACTTACACGACTGCCCTTTTAATCCACTTGCTCTCA